CCGCTTAACTTAGCCCTAACTAACTTTGATATAAAACTAACAATAACTGCTCAAGTGCACCGCGTAGCAACGCCCGCGCTCCTCTTCGCCGCCATCCCTAACTAACGCTCAAGCATAATTTAATATTTATGCATAAGTTAAGCGAGTAGTGTTTTGACTGCTTCGCTGTGTGCGTTGTTTTTGGCCAAGTTTGAAACACATTCTCAAAGTTATTATTCTCTGTGCCTGTCCGAGACGAGTCGAGACAAGACGAGACACAGGCACAGCTGCTCGCATCTCAGCGCTCGCGTTGCGTGCTGTTCTAATTTCCAGCCACAAATTAGGCAGCCATACAGCATTATTGTTGCTCTACCTCTGCCTGTATAGTATATATATATATATATTTTTTTTTTTGCTGCCTGATATTCGTGCTAAACACGTGAACTAAATGCGGCCGTGTGAACAAGGCAATGGTAATAATAGTCGTAACAGCAAACATCATAATCACAATATCAGAATAGCTAGTTCACAATGGAAGTTCGTTTTTGGGCGTGCAAATACCAAAAGTCGCGGGCGTTGTCTTTAAATATTTCTGTTGCTGTATTTGCATTTTCTTGGCCCATTACGTAATGCCGCATACGACGATCAGCGCTAAAACCGAAAGTTATTTCTTGTGTCGGAATCTCTATCTGAATCTGGTTTTTCGATTCGTTTTTAGTTTATTTTTTTACTATTTTGTTTTAGCTTCAGTTTTAGTTTTTAGTTTATAGTTTTTGCTCGGCTCGTGTTAGCCCGCATTCAGTTGCAGTTAGTTAATGGTAATTGGGCTGTTATGGACTGCCTGGCACACTGGCTTTTTTCTCAATTTTTTTAAGTGCCTCAAAGTCGAGTGTGTAAAATAATGAGCAAAAATTAAAAAAAAAAAACAATAGAGGTAAAAATACAATAGAACACACGACTGCGCTTTGGTGACGTCTAACGGCATAAATCAAAAGACTGAAGACACAAACTTCAAGCGCGCCTCAAGTGTGCTGGGTACGCGTTTGTGTGTGTGTGTGTGCATTTGTGCGCTGGTGGGTGTTCTCTTCTATTTATGAACAGCAATAAATGCTGCCAAAAATAAACGCTCGTTTGCCAACAATTCATAGGAAACGAGACGTTAATGAGCTGCCAGTTAGTTCAAGGCGTGTCCAAAAGCCAAGTTATAGATAAATAATGGCTATAGTATGGCTGACATAGCATTTGCCAATGAGACAGCCGAAAGGCATACAAGGCAAATAAAATTAACATGAATATCATGCGAAGCCAATAATAATGGAAATTCGTTGTATTATGAAACAAATTACAATTAACAATCCATTGGCATTTCCTGTAAAATATGTAAAAATAGCTAATGTTTTTACATATCAAATTCAAGAATGAGCCGATTAAAAAAATAGTCAACTTTTTAATTTATTATGTTCTTATTCAGCCTGTTAGCTTTACTGAAATTAAACCCTTTTAAACAGAGTCCAGTAATACATCTTACATCATTTGAATTTGATTTTAAGTTAACAAGTCACTTAACATCGGGAGTACAAGTAATCAGAACTGCAATGAGATTAACATAACAGATTAATGTAACAAGTGATCGATTACAGAGGACATTAATATACAAAATATGTTGATGAAACTTTAGCTTATCATCACTGTATTCAAAAACAAATTAAATTAAATTAGTGACCACATAAACTGTTATTTGTACTTTTGTACATTAAATAGCACTCAGATACTAAACTAATTGCTCTGCTATGCTGAGTGTTTTTCAAAAGCATCGAGCACCTTCTAACTTATAGACATAATTACTCGAAGCCATAACTTCTAACCCACACAATAGCAATTATTTCCTTGCAACACTAGAAACTCCCCTTTTTATCGTTGACTTGACGACTTGGCTATGCCGTCAGTTTCGCTACAAGTTGAAGCATAATAAAAGTGTCGTATCTTACATTGTTTTGTATCACACCATAAAATCATTCACAATTCAATGCGCATTTGTCGCTTGCTTTGGCACAAATCAAACTTGAAACCTCGCCCACGTCTAGAACGAGGCGTTGAACCACCACAGCACAACGGCCAGAAGCAGCTCCATGCTCATGTGGGTGCTCTGCTGACGCTGCTCTGGGGTTGTGTGTGAGTTAGGTGTGCGTGTGTGGGTGTTCTGGCAAGGCGAATTTCGGACAGCAAAATCGAACCAAATCGAAAAATGTGTAAAAATGCCACACAGTCAAATGGGGAAAAAAATAAAGGAAAACACCTACACATGCAATGCATGATATCGTTGCAAAAAACCTGGCCAGCTCCACTTTGGCCAGATTTAGTGGCTAAGCCTAACATATTTTCAGCCGCTTACGTAATGTAACTGGCATGGCCCTAAAACTAAAACTGGGCGTGTACACTTTGTATTGTTTGGCTCAAACAAGCTGCTTGAGTCACGTTAAAGATGTTAACAGAAAACAACAACAACAACTGACGACGACTACGACAACAGCAACAAGGCTAGTAAAAAACGGCAAACAAATGAGGCAACTAGCCAAACACTTTCGTTGACTGTTTGCTCTCTTGACCAACTGTTCAAATAGCGCATTGCCTCAATTGTGGCTCTAGTTGGTAGTGAAGTTAAAGCTTAAAGTTGTTGTTGAAGTGGACGTTAAACTTCAGGCTGTGCCCATTCCCATGACCTTGCGAAATTAGCTGGCGCTGTCCCACTAAAATGACTCGATTTAGAACGCGTGCTCATTAACTACAACTAATTACGACCAGGTTCATTGCCAATGCCAATTGCATCCACATGACATCAGCAGCAGCAACAGCAACAGCAACAGATCACAATTGACTTCATTTCAGCTGAGTTCAGTTGAATTGTTCAGTTTAGTCACATAAAGTATATATATATAGTATACTACATTCCACATGTACGAGTACATAAATCCATAACTCATTTCGCTGACGACCTTAACGCTTTTTTTCAGCCTGTTGACCGTTTACACATGTGGAATTCACTTCCAACTATTTGCTGTCTATCTAAATTTATGCAATTTGCGAGGCGCAATTCATAGTGTAATTATACCCTGTATCCATAAAAATGTTTAAAGTGCAGGGTATCATTAAGGTTCACGTCATCTAGACTTTCTAGAAAAATATAGATAAAAATATACACTTACCGTTCGCATTACAGTTGCTGTGAAAGCAGAACGGTTAACAGAGACTGTTAAATAATAGGAATGTTGATTATCATTCTGTTAATATATTATGAATGAATATATGACCCTCTCGGTCAATTAACACTCTTTGGGATCAATGTAGGTAATTCATTTCGCTGTCAGCTCTTATTCATCTTTACATTGTGATGTACGTCTGAGAGAGCGAGAGAGCGAGAGAGAGAGATTCAGATACCATGCGAACACAGGGCATCAGCTCGTCGAGCACAGCCGTCGAGGGCGTTCTTACTTGTTTTTTTCAATCAGTTTTTGTACAAAAAGTCAGCACAGTGAGCTTGTCGACTTGTCGCGTTTCCATGGAAGATGCGTGATGTCATCATCAAATACAGTAAACACGTTCAACAAAAATTGTTTCTCAATATGCGAAAATAAAACAATTTTGGTATTTGAAATGTGAGCCCCCAAGATGATGTATGTTAAGTGGCTAATACAAATATGTATATGAATCTTTTAAAACCGGATTTCCGATAATTAAGGCCTTTGCACCTTTGACGCCTCGCTGTCTTCTGCCCAAATGCAAATGTCGGCCAGCTTTGAGTGGGCGCGCGGGGGCCTTTGGACCGCAACGACAAACCGCAATTTGTGTTTTTTGGCAGCATTTGCTAATATAACTATCAAGCAGAGCCCAATTAGCGCATTTCAAGTAGCTTTCAATTTGGCCAAAATGCCTGCGGTAAAAGCGAAGTGAAATTGTCCACATTGATCAATTGCCCAGACAATTACAATTGCAATTCTGAGTGTGTGTGTGTGTGTGCGTGTTTATCTGAGCCGCCACATTTGCTGGCGCAGTGCGTCAGAGCGACACCCACCCAGACACCAGCGAGACCAGGCCGCAGCAAATGCTGTCTATGCTATATGGGCTGTAAGCAGAAACCTTGACGGCCTTCTAACTCGCTCCACGCTGTGGCTGTTGTGAAAGACTTACAGTTTCCTACGCTGCGCCAACAACAACCACACACTTTTAATACCCTGTAACCACGGAAAATGGCTTAAAAGGGTATAGTAGTTTTGTGCGAATCTATGTAACAGGCCGAAGGTGGCATATGTGTGCGCATACTCTAAGGGGTATTCCGGATCAGGACGATGAGCTCGGGCACGGGCACTCGAAAGCTAGAAGATCAGTCCCTTTAAAAATAACAAATTAACATGCCCATCGAGTTTATCTTAATTTATCAACAACACCTCCAGATATTGAGAAGAACAGTTGGTGTTAAGGATAACTCGAAGATTATAAAAGCTAACGATACCAACTATGGTATATGGTTTATTTCTATACCATATACAGAGTAGGAGCCCTAAATACATGGTACAGGGTATCTCCTAGCTAGCACTCCCATAGTAGAGCACTATTATTTGTTTTATTATATTTTTTTTTATTATTTTTTTTATTTTTTAGACGCTGCCCACCGCACTGAGATCGCAAAGTTTTTGTTTTTGCGGCGAAATTCCAAACTAAGTGAATTTTTTCTGCTGTTGTTGTTTTTTTCGTGTTTTATTGTCAGATACTTTTTTCAATTTTTCCTTTTGGCTCGCTTCGCTTTGGCTTGGAACGAACGTTGCAAACCAGTTTTTCTATAGCCAGATTCGGATTCGGATTCGCATACCCACATTTTTGTAGCTCTTGTTGTTGTGCTGGTTGTTGTTGTTGCCGTTGACGAGCCGAGCTTTAAGCTCTGTCATGACGTCATTGTTTTTGCACTAACCGCCTCGCATGCTGTTTGTTTTGGCCAGAAAGCAAGTGGCCCAAAGTGCCAGCCACTCAGTTCGCATTGGGCAATGATCGCGTGCGCTCGGCAATCGAAATCGAATCGAACCGGAGTCGGATTCGAAATCGGGAAATCGGACGTTGAAATCGCAACGAATCGCGTTTTCCAATTAACAAGTTAATAGAATTTTTGTTTATTTTTCGTTTCACGTGGATAGTCATTAAAATAAATCAAAATAGCAAATACAATGAAACAATTGCCAGCTGAAGTTGCATAGAAGAAACTGAGGCAAGCGAAACGCAACGAAAGTGTACCGAAGTGAAGTGAAGTGAGCTGAGGTGAAGTGAGGTGACGAAAAGTGAGCGCCACAACGCCACAATGGACGTCAAAGATATCAAGGGCGCCAAGGTGACGCACGCGGGTCTGCTCAAGCACAATACAGATGGCACCACCGAGACCCAAAAGATCACACATGCCGGCCTGGTGGCGCGCAGTCCCGAAGGCACCGCCGCCAAGGGCATGAATATACGCGGCAACGAAGACCTGTGGGTGGAAATCCAAGCGAACACCTTTCGCAATTGGGTCAACGAGCATTTGCGCGAGACGGGCATGCAGGTGAGTGCTATGCATATGGGCTAGTCCGTAGACGCTTACATAAGAGGCGAGCGTTCAGTGAAGCGCAACTGTCTAACAATACGACGCTCGGTTACTCAGTCAATGGGTCGGCCAGTCAATAGAACTATCGATTACCCGTATGTAGCATATAAATGCATTAGATCAGCGCCTCGAGCAGGGCCTGGGCTCATTGGCATGCCCAGCTACAGCTTGCACGCTTGGACAGCTTGTGGGCCTGCAGGTCTGGTATGCTGCTCTTCCGCGGGGCCTTAAAATGCCTTAAATGGACATGCACCATACGCCACCCCGGTACAGTCATAAATATCAGCTCAGATCTCGACTCATTGTCGCCCACACTCACACGCACACGCACACGCGGCGTATACGCAACGCCCACGCCTGGAGCAAGTGCGACGACTTCAATGGCAAACTTTACTCACACAAAGCCGAAACACTCGAAGGCGACATTTTCAAATTGCGTCGGTCAATTTAATTACAATTACGAACATGCAATCGCTGCTTTGCGCTCAAGTGGCATGCATTTCATTAGTCAATTTGAAAGTCAGCTTCGGGTCGAGTCGCCTTTGTGGGATTTTAGTTGTTTTTGATTTTTTATAGATATTTTTCTCACACATGAACTGGCCATATTTGGGCGCTTGAATGCCAAGGCCGTAGCTCAAAAAATACAACAAATTTAAATAAATACATATATAAATAAAAAAACACAGCATCGCTGCAAAGCCATTACGTGTTACAAAACAAAAGCCAGTGACAGATCTTTCAAGTTTTATGCATACATTTTGGGACAGTCTAAAAAAAATCGAGAGATGATGCGACGAGGCAGCCAGGCAACCAGGCAGCTGGAGCAAGGCCGCAGCCCTCCAAAATGGGCAGAGTTCGCATACGAGTCAGGTTGTAAACAGCGCTAATTGAGCACCCAGCCAATGACAATAGGCCTTAAAAAAAATGAATAACAACATGCCGACAAACCTGGCTGCTATATTTAGGTCAAAATGCCAAATTGAGACTGTCAAGTGTGCATTTTATATTCTAGCTTATGGCTAATGAAATTGCAATCAACTCTGTGTGCCATATTCTCTGTTGTGCCATAAAAAAACAACTAAGGAAAACTATGCTCGGCATGCCACAGCTCAAATACTCTATCAGGTGCATTTGATTAAGTCTAAAATTCATTAAGTTTTTGATATAGCATATTCACAAACTGTTCTCACAACAAGCTGTAAAGTACTCCCATGCATTAGTATCTTTACGTAACAGCAGCCAAAATGTTATTAACAGTGCATACTAATTACAAGAGTAAAACGTTTTTCAGTTTTGCAATAAATTAAACGTTCATTTTTTTAAGCAAACAAATCGTGTGGCATATTGCTTGTCATATAGAAAAAAATCAAAGTAAAACTAGAATTCATTAAATTCATTCAAAAAAGCTAGTAAAAAAATTCCCACACATTTGTCTGCTAGCATTACAGCTGGTTAGATTGTTGTTAACAGCCCCTTTAAATTGTTTGACGTAAAACGCTTTTCAGTTTTGCAATTAAACTAAAATGCATTTGCTTAAAAAAGATTCTGGTCTTGCACTTGCTTCGGAATAAAATGTCAAACAGCTATTGGATAGTAATTTATACCCAGAGAACGCTTAACTGATATGTGTTAGTCGAACCCAAGAAACGCTAGTTGCTTTTGTTATGCATTTTAAACATAGAAAGTCGAATATATTTTGCATATTTTAATGCATGAAAAGCAATCAATATTGCCTTAACGATCAAATCAACAAAGATTGTAGGAAACTATATGTACAACTATTAACATCTGGTGTCTTACATAGCTTATGATGTTATCAATTAACAGTATCTAATGCGAAAGGAGCAGATGTCAGCAAAGAGTCCTCTGAGTCAGTCCCCCCGCGCATATGGTTGCCTCTAGGATATATGAGATGAAACTTTTCGCATAGCAGACAATAGGAATTTATGAGCGCTTCTTGATAATATCCACTCCCGCACAGCACAGACTTGCAAATTCAAAGGTTATGCGCACATGACAACAAGAAGAAGAACAGCAACAGCAACAACGATAACAGCAAAAGACAACACCCCCAACTGCCAGCCAAAGTGGAGCTGTTGTTGGCGCTTGTTAGGGAACAGCGCGTTGGCAACTATGTGCGAGATTTTTATGGCCATCCACAGAATATTTTCTGTATGGGGCACGAACAGAAAACAAACAGCAACAGACACGCGATTGTCTCGCCGGCTGCTGACAGCTCCAAGATAAAAAGCTTTATGTCAAATGGTAAAAATTGCAAAGACGATGCCGGAGAAAGCCAACTGGCAACTGGCAACAGCTTCAGCTCCAGCCTTGCTGTGTGAGTGTATTCCGGCCAAGTCAGAAGGCGGTACACGCCCAATGTGGGCCACAACTAGCGGGCTTTTCTACTTATTGTTTTTGTTGTTGTTGTTGTTGTTGTTGTTGTTGTTGTTGTACCTTTGCTGATTGCCCATTATGAAAGCTGGCTGACAGGCAGCAGGCATGTAGGTACATTAGCAGAAAACATGCATAGTTTCGCACAGACAATGCTAATTAACGCCCATTGAAAGATTCGCCATTAGTGATTAAAAATAAAAACATAAATAATAAAACTAAAAAAAAAAAAAAAACAATCTGCTATTTCTTCCACTTGGCGCAGGTGCATGACTGGGCTACGGACTTCTGCGATGGCACCTGTCTGTGTGCGCTGGTCGAGAACCTGCAGACGCGTCCGCTGAAACCATCCTGGAATCGCCGCCCGGCCAATCAGCATCATTATCTGGAGAATGCCACAACCGCTCTCAAGTCGATTGAGGCGGATCACATAAAGCTGGTGAACATTGGCAACGTGGACATTGTCAACGGCAACGTGAAGCTGATATTGGGCCTCATCTGGTCGCTGATTGTGCGCTACCAAATCGGACGCAGCAAGTTTCCGCCGCGCAAACTCATGCTGGCCTGGCTGCAGGCCGCGCTGCCGGATTGCAAGATTACCAATCTCACAACAGATTGGAATAGCGGCGTCAACTTGGCCGCGTTGCTGGACTACTGCCAGCCGGGCCTGTTTCCGCACTGGCGCAGTCTCGATCCTAGTCAGAGTGTGCGCAATTGCACCAATGCCATGAATCTGGCGCAGCGCGAGTTTGGTGTGCCTAAGGTGCTAGAGCCCGAGTATTTGGCCTCGCCTTGGCTGGATGAGCTATCCGGCATGACGTATTTGTCGTACTTCATGAAACCAGGTGGACCCGGCTACAATGCCACCATGCGTTGGGTTAACACACAGGTTAAGGAGCCCGTCAAGAATTTTACGGTGAGTAATAATAATATAATAATATATTGACCCTTAATAAATTCAAAGTTCATAACCGATGCGTGTCACATTCCCTCTCACACACGCTCTCTTTCTCTCTCTCTCTTAATCCCTTCTGTGCTTCTTTTTTCTCTACTTCAATCCGATAACCCTCTCCATTTCTTAGTTACTCTCTCATCCATCTCTTGATATACCTTTCTCTCTTTCTCTCTATCTCGCGCTTCCTTTTTATCACCTCCATTCATTCCCTCTTTTCACATCTCTCTCTTGCCCTTCCTGCATCTACTTACTCTTATTTTGACCCACTCACCATTCGTTATCGCCTCTCTATGCGATTCTCATGGTTGCACATTAAATGTTTTTTTAATCGACGTATATATATATTTATATATTTTTTTTTAAACAATGGTATTTGAAAAAGCCATTGCTCTGCTTACTCACTGTTACTTTATCCCTCACTCTGGCTGAATATACAATTGCGCGACCGTAATTTTAACTGTGAATTTAATTGTAATTGGTTAAACTATTAATTGCATTGCATTGTAGACCGATTGGAACGATGGACGCGTGCTGTGCGAAATCATCAAGGGACTGGGCGGCTCGGCGCCAGCGCCAGATAAGCTGAGCACCGATCCCTTTCACTATGAGAACAATATACGCAAGGCTGTCGACGCTGGCGCCAAGCTGGGCGTACAGCCCATATTGACGCCCAAGGACATGGCGAATCCGGAAGTTGAGCATCTGGGCATCATGGCATATGCAGCCCATCTGCAGTGGGTGCCGCCACGTCCACCGCTCTCCGACCTGGTCAACGTTTATTTGGAGAGCACATCCGGCCGTGTGGGCGAACCGGTATGTACCACGCATAACTGAGTGCTTGACATGACCCGCATTAACGCTTAATACCCATTTCACACGCAGACGCATTTCCGCATCGACGTGCTGTCGCGGGACATCAGCTTGAGTTCAGTGCGCTGTCACGTGGTGCCCCCGTCCGGTAATCCCGGGCAGCCGGTGCGTTTAAATGCGCATGGCGAGGGCGTTTACGTGCCGGAGCGCTATGGTATGCACGAGATTGTTGTGGAGATTGGCGAGGATAGCCTGGGAGGTCATTTCTTCCGCGTGTTGCCGCGTCTCCTGCAGGTGGCGCCACCTGGCATGGCGCCCTGCGCCCTGGGCAGCCTGGTCGAGGTGCTAGTTAATGCAACAGGCGCGCCCAAAACGGAAGATATTCTGGTCACAGCAGTTTCGCCGACGGGCATCTCGCACAACTGTCCGCTGAAGAAGATCGACGAGGGACACAGTGCCATATTCAAGCCGGATGAGGCGGGCATCTGGGAGATAGCCATCACCTATCAGGGCCGTCACATCCAAGGCGGTCCATTCACCTGTGCCGTGTTCGATGCCTCTGGCGTCTCTGTACATGGCCTGGATGGCGCCATGCCGCTGCGGGCTCACACCTTCGAGGTGGACGCACGCGGCGTGGGAGTCAACGGCGAGCTGCATGTGGACATTGTCCATGACAAGCACTCGCTGGTCTGCTCTGTGGAGAAGATCGTGGATAACAAGTATCGGGTGACCTTTATGCCGCGTCAGAATGGCAAATATCGCGTGTATATCTACTTCAATGGCTACGATGTCAAGGGCTCGCCCTTCATGTGAGTAACCCAATCAATGCTAAACATGTGCTCTGGCCTAATCCTCCGTAAAATTTTGCAGCATGCGCGTGGGCACTAAAGGTCGCTCGGGCAAGACACGCAGCAGTCCGCTGCATGAGAGCAAACATCGCTCGGAGAGCCCCTCAATGCACTTCATCTCCACGACAAATACGCGTCACAATGACTATCGCAATGCGTCGCTTTCTCGTCGGGATTTGCACGGCCATAACACGGCCGAGCGCACCAGCAGCTACTCGCCGCAGTATTCACCCAAGCTAGACACAACCGACTACCACACTTCCAGCTCCAGGTACTACAAGCGCGAGAGCGAGGTAAGTAAAGGCAGACAACAGGCAGAATGGCTTCAGTTCATCTTAAGCACGCGGCGGCACGGGCTTCTTGTTAATGCTTTGCACAACAACCACAATGCACACCACAAAATTGAATCTTTGGCTAACACCTACACACACACACACACTCCCTTGTGACCCCTGACACACACTCAAAATTACATTCGACAGGAGAACCACGGCTCCCCCACACCGCCCCTGCCGCCAACGACTAGCGGCTCCCCCACAGTGAAATATTTGAACTCGACGGACCTTTACACGGAATCTGCCGGTGGTCGGCGTGACTCGAAGACCTCCAATAGCAGCTCAACTCGGAATGACTACTACTACGACAAGGAGAACGAGCTGTATAGCCAGCGGCGCATCGTCAGCAAGCCCAAGCTGGCGCCGCCGCGCGAGGAGCGCGAGCTAACCACCAACAGCAACAGCAGCAGCAGCTTCCAGCGACACCAACAACTGACCAGCTCGCTCAGTCCAATACCTAGTCCCACACTGAATGTAACTAAATTTTTGTTTGATCCGTTTGCTCGATTCCAAAAGATAAACTAGTGCTCTTTATGTGTGTCTTATCTTCAGTTTGACAAACTAAAGCTAATCTTTTCATCTCATCCACCTCATCCACAGACGCGCTCCAGCGAGCTGCACTCCCACAGTCCGCTGACTATTAAGACATCGAATCAGTACGAGAGCTCCACACGCAACATAACCAGCAGTCCGCGTCACGCCTCCGCCTCGCCGGTGCAGCGCTATTCGCCCAACAATGCGTACATCAGCACGGCCACACATCGCATAGGCAGTCCCGTGACCAGCACCCTGAACAAGGTAGGCATGCACTTAGATGGACGTAATGCCGGCTCAGAACTGACTCTGGTGTATTTCTAGAACGGATACGAGTCAACGCGCGTGGAGAAGTCATCCACCTACAAATCCACCTCGAACTATGTCACCGATTCGAATGTGCGCGCCAGTCCCTCGCTCTATGGCACAGCCGAGCGACTACGTCGGATTGGCTCGCCGGAGCCGCGCATTGATCACTCCTCGAATGTGCGCGTCTCTTCGCTGAAGCCGGCGTCGGCGCGTCGCGATAGCTGGGATGTCATCAACAAAACCAAGCATATGCTCTCGCACAATTCGCTCGAATCGCTGGCGAACATGACCGAGACGCAGCTCAACACGGAGCTTAACTACGCACGCCCCGATCTGGACCACGAGACGCAGCGCAATACACAGTACAACAAATTCGCATTGCACAAGCAGCAGCAGCAGCAACAGCAGCAACAGCTTCAGTCGGACTACCGACGCGACTCGCCCGACGACGTGGATCGCTACAAGTACTAGATATATTCTTTAATATTCCATGCCAGTCCCTTTACCTCTCTCTCTCTCTCTCTCTTTCTGTCACCATGCAGACCCAGTGCCATCACCGTCAAGTCACACTCGAACAACACGTATACGGACAAGTCCGGCGGCTATATCAAGACCGTCAAGGAGTCCAGCGAGCATGTGGTCACGGAGAGCAATGGCCATAGCTCGGCTAATGGGCCGGGCTACGGCTACAGCTCGCTGTCACGCTTTCGACCCATAGACAGCAATGCGACAGGTGCTCGGGCCATACGCGTACAGGACATACCCAATGGCTCCATTGGACGTCCGGTGGAATTTGAGATCGATGGCTCCAAGGCCGGTTCCGGCAATCTGGAAATTTTGGTTAATGGCGGCCGGGTCACATCGTCGGTCCGCTCGCTGGGCGGCCAGCGCTTTATAGCCAGCTTCACGCCACACGAACATGGAACACACACCGTGCAGATCACTTTCAATGGAGAAACGGTACCAGGTGAGTCGGGGCAGAGTTATTGATCAAGCAGGAAGCTCAAGTATGACGCCATAAGCTCCACATAACGTGGGCGTTGCGCACTTTCAAGTCAAGTTCGGCATTCTTGCGCTGCGAATCTCGATGTGCTACTCGTTTTGTACCCTTACCTAAATTGGGCATGCTAAGTTGATTGGCGTGTTTGATTTAAAGTGTTTTCTAAATTGGAATGCCCAACATAGCTGAGTAAAAGGTTGCTAATAGTTAAATATTTTGGGAAAATCATAATACTTAGGAGATGTTGTTAACATGTAGTTTTGAATTAAATATATGAATTGAAATGAAATTGAGTTTGAGGCCGGTCGGATGATAAACAAAAATGTTTCATACAAACGTTTTTGCGATTTATCCGCACATACGGGTGGAATTTCCAGAAAGCCTGTCTTGGTCAGTTAGTCAATCAGTTAGGACAAACAGTTTTATATATAGAGATATATTAAAGTATATCCGACCTGTAAAAGCTTCAGTTCAATTCATGTTGCAATGCTGTAATATCTACTCCCATGAAATTTAAATTGATTCATAAAGCTTAGAAGATATATTATGATAATCTTATGATTCCCAGAAAAGAAGTTCAACATCAATGTTTTCTAGCTATAAATGATTTCTTTATTCATTTAAAATGAAACTTTGACTGCTTCGTAGAATTTGGAAGGGTTATATTTATACCATTATTTTTTTGTACACTCTTCGTTAATTTATGAATCGAAGCAAATATGCCTCTTCCATTAGTTAAATTATAATTAGGATAAGGACAGCATTAAGCTTAAGCCTTGCTTGAAAGAGTCTATTTGATTTCACCCCAACTGATGGCACTGCAGACCACGGTGCGGCGAATTCGTGCAGTTGGCTTGAGAGAAGCAGAGCTGCGCTCTAGCTCGCACTCACACTCACACTGGCGCTCACTCTCCCGTCACTGATCACTTGTTGCTGCGCCTACCTGCGCTCACCTGCCGCAATCCGAACGCTCTTTTACGCTCCGTCGCGCTCAGCCAGCCGTAGTGAGCGACCTGCCGAACGAGTTTTGAGCAGAGCTCTGGGTCGCGTTGGCAGCAGCCGTCGCCGCCGCCACCAGTCACAGCTCGCGCTCCGAACATAACTGACACGTCGGCGCACCGTCAGCAGCGATCGCAAATGTTAAAGCCAAGAAAAATTTAAAGAGAAGAAATAAATTAGAAAAACAACTAGATAGTAAGGAAAAGCAGAAAAGGCTAGAAGTGTGTGTGAATGTGCAAAGCGAAAAAGAAAAGAATTGTTTGTAATCAGACAGCACAAACAAAAACATTGTCAAACGGTTGAGAGAAATACCAAATTCACATAAAAAAAAAAAGAAGAAAAGAAAGATAACTTTTTTCTGTGGAATGTTAAGCGAATCGAAAAGATTTTGTTTGTGAGATTTCTATGCCAAAGAAATATGCTAATATAGCCAATGCGGACGTCGCGTTCCCGTGCCCGTGCCCATGCCCGCTCCCTTGCCCTTGCCCGTTCCCGTTGCCGTCTCTCAAAACAAAGTTGCCCTCGTCGCATTTGGGTCTCTGTTTGTTGTGTGCATGTGTGAGTGTTGCGTGTGTGAGGCGCGCGCTACGACAAAAAAAAAAATGATATATATATATATATATAAGTAAAACAAAACTAAAACCAGTTTAATGAACCTTTTAGCTGAACATATTTTCAATGGGACTAGACAGCTGCTTGGCTTAAAGGTTGAAATCGGTTGAAATCAACGTCAAAAGCGTAGAAAACTGTCGCCCTGCAATTTGCAATGTTCATTGAACACGATTCTGGTGTTTGTGTGCGTGTGTGTGTGGCAGCCATTTTGTTAAGAGCTTGCAACATGCCACAGCCGCAATTTGGCTCGTTTATTGGCCAAGTTAAAGGCCCCAGTGCAGCACACATAATCAAGCGACAGGCGCGCATAGTTCAAACCCAAGCTCATAGATACACACACACACACACACACACGCACACATACGCACACACACATACACACACACAAGCGCACACTCGCGCAGCAGCGGGAAGTGGTCTGCATTTATATTTTTTCTCTCTTTTTTGTCTGCTCATGCTGTTTGCTTTGCAATTTTCAATCTGTTGTCGTTGGCTTTTCTATGTGGTTCAAGGCGCACTTGTTGCATGCCTTTGTTAGCCGTTGCAGAAGGAAGTTGCACGCCCTATGACAAAGCCACATACAGCTGCAACAACATACGGCTACAACAGCAGATCCAACAGATACGCGTACTGTTGTTTGCCATGTCATTTAATGCGGCTGCAGCTCGAAACCCGTTGGGATAGGTTGCCAGCCTGTTGTTGTAGCTGTATGCCACATTTACACATACTTGCAACTGGCGGTATGCGGCAAGGGCGTGGTACTGGCCAGGTACGCGTAAGATCAGCCGCACAGATTGCAATTTCTTCGACTGCCTGCTGCGACAACGTGGCTGCCACTTACTTTCCCACTGACTTGACACAACACACAAATATTTGAGCGGACATTTCGTTTTCGTTGCGTTGAGTTTCGTTTCGTTTCGTTTTTTTCTCTGGCATAATGAGTTGTGGCCACACCTCTTTCTTTTGAACAGAGCTTTTACCCCGCTACCACTGCTGCTGCTGCTGCTGGTGCTTATGGCTATTTCCGCTGTCCAACATATTGGCATACATGCCCAATTTTACAGCTAGTCCGCTGCCCCTGCCCCTGCCCTGCCCTGCCCTGCCCCTCAGCTGGTGCCTCTATCACTCTGCATTTTTGTGATTTTATGAGCCACATTCAAAGTGAAATTTTTGTTTGGTACCCGCATGGCGCACAGGCAACTGGTTTTTTAAGCGACGGTCAACATAAATTAAAGAAAAACAATAATAATAAAACAAACCAAATACGCAATTAAAACAACTGATAAATTACAAATCGTTTGGCTTTTAATTTTGTTTTGCGACGGCCGCGGCAAACGTTGAAAAACGCGAGAAAAACGTGCGCGATTCGTGATTTTCGTTGAACAACATTTTTCTGCAATGCTCGACGAAATGTGTAGAAAAAAAGCAAAGAGAGCTCGTTAAACTAAATTGTTCTGTTGAAATTCGCACAGTGCAGCATTTAACACAAGCATTTTAATATATACATACAAAATTCACAAGTTATTTTTGAAAAAAATTAATAATTAAAATAATACAAAAATAACAAGCCGCTGACATAATCGCAGCGCGTTCAACAACTTGACTTTCAAGTGGTTCAAGTTCAGACGTGCCGCCCGCTCAGCAATTGTGTATTGATATACAAAAGAATAAGGTCCAATCACGCGTTTTCAGACAACATCTTGCACTGCCCCAACAACAACAACAACAACCACAGCAACAACTACAGCAACAACTACAACTACAGCAAGAAAAGCCTCGCTACCAACGCTCCAACGCATCATCAGCAGCTACCGACACAGTCACCACAAAACGTAAATCTCCATTCTGCGAAATCAAATACCAAAAATTCTACAGCTATAGATACATGTGTATATAGATACATATGTGCGCATAGATACATTTATATACATCAACTATTCGTAACGGTCGCTGTCAGACATTCTGGCTTTGAATTCTTCTGCTGCCGCTGCTGCTGTGGCGACAGCTGCTGGCCATCTAACGGTTTGCATGCCGCAGTCACGTAACCGATTTCGTATACGCACACACACACACACACTTGCACGTAGTTACTCTGGCACTCACACAGATACTCGTATGCATATTGAATAACAGCATTCAGCACATCTACTCTTAACTGCACTTGTTCTCTGGCCACATGCCGGAAAAGTTGGTCGCTGCCAGCGACAGCTACGCGGCAACAAAACCGGCCGCGGCCAGAGCAACAGGTAGACACACCGAATTCCAAAATACCCTTATTCGTTACGTAAATCAGGCACAGGATGCATGGGGCCTACATTGAGCAGCGGCTGTCGAACCGAACATAAAGCCAGATTTGTTGACCAACAAATTTGTTCAAATAATCGTTTGTTTTGAATTGGTTCGAACCGTTACCTGGCTATTAACTTTCAGAATGTCGCCGGAAATAAACGTGGGAATAATATCTATTGTATGAGTAAAGCTCGCAAAGAACTCGTTCGAAGATAGTTTAAAGCATTTGTTTTTGCAACCTAATCCACACTTTGTTTAAGCTGCCTGCCTTAACTCAGCTAGTTGAGGTCAACTGTATTACAAACTTTAACTAACTGGGGTATGTCAATCTAGAGGTAAAAATACTTTTCTGAGATTGCAAGCAATTTGTCTTAAATCACGCTTTTATTGTGTTTATAGAGCAGCAAATTATGCAGAAATGATGCCAACTTAAATTTGAACTAGATTTAAGAACTAGAACTAGCGGCTAATATGCGCAACTAGATATTAAGCTATTTGTTAATTGTATAGACTGGTTAGTGCTTGAATCAATATCAAGATAATGGAAAGAGCTTATTATTATTTGCAAAGTTCAAATGTAATAGTTTTTGTATGATGTTCAACTTAATTGAATGTTGAACATTTTATAATTCCCTATAATTCCTGAATTTTATTTTTACATATTATATGCTACTTGTGTTATAGAGTATATATGAATTGAACACCGAGCAGCTAGCCTGGCAACTTCATACGCTCGTTTAGCGCACGCAATTCGACCGAGAATTCGCATTCACATGAGCTTCACACACGCCACAAGACGTGCATAAGACTCTCTTGAGATAGCTACAAAAACAAAACAACAACAAGAAGAAAAAGCCACCAAAACTGAGCCCGTTAGCGTCGCAAATGCAAGCAAAGTTCAAGTTGCAGGCTCGTCTGTGCAACGCATAGAATGTGGCAGTGACAAAGAGGCAGAGCTTAATTTATGAGCATGGGAAGCTCTAACTTGAAGCTGTTGAGGTTTATTAGATGACCAGCTAACTGTTGTTCACATGGAGCTCGAGCTGTGAGTGCGACTGATAAATGCTGGCCCAAAGTGTGCCGCCAATTGGTGGTCAACAAACCCTGAGAGCGGCATTCAAATTGAGCTGCGGTAGTTTTGAGTGTGGCAACAGCAATAACAGTTCGCGGCCGAATTCGGTTTCAATTTTTTGATTGGCGCATCGCAAGAAGTTTCCCAGGCAAAAAGGTTGGGTTTTTTTTCTGGCCAAAATGAACTGTTGTTGCGCAAGACAAAAAAGTGCCAACTCAAATCGAGTTTTGAGCGACAACGCAACAGTTTGATTTTCCATTGAACTGAAACGACGGTACGAGGCGCAACTCAACTGCTGTGGCAATTTTCATGGAAAAGCCATAAAAAGCAGCACCAGCAGCTGCAACCGAAACGAGCGCTAAAAGGAAAAGTGCAGCAGCAGCAGCAGCAGACGAAAAAAAAAAAAATGAGAAAGAGAAATGTGTGGAAAGTTGCAAACAAAAGTAAATTTTTGCGCCAAGCTAAAACACGACAGCAACAACAACAACAATCGACTAAATCAATAAAAAAAGAAAAAGAAGAAATAAGCAAACATTTAACGAGCTGCTCGTAATTGCCAATTGCAAGTTCAATTCGCTTAGCGCCAGCTCACGAATGCATCTCTGTCTGTCTGAGCCTCAAGCTTTAATGGCTTCGAGCTGCTTGCGTTTCGCAATGCTCCTGCAGTCAGCTTCAGCTCCAGCTCCATCTCCATTAGCAACTGTAGCTACTGCAACTAACTTTGGCCAATTAATGTGTTATAATCTGCCCGAGTTGATTGTCTAAGCATTTGCAGCCTACTGGCCGTGCCCACTTGGATGCCTACAAATGCAGATACAGCTACAGATACAGCTACATCTTGCAGATACAAATACGCAGCTCAAGATACGCACTTGTGCCTCGCACTCCGCCAGCTGGCAACGAGGCGGCACAAATTGTTGTTGCGTTTGCTGCGTAGCAATTGCGACAATTATAATGGGACGCAGCGGAAAACAAATAGAAACCTGGTTTTGACTTCCATGCGGGGGCTGCCACAGAAATGCTGTATGTATTATTTGGAAAGTTGAAGAGTTGACACAGAAACAAAAAGATTCCAATTCAAGAAAAGAGATATGACTTGATAACGATATCTTTTTTTATTGAGGTATACGAATTTAAGCAAAAGGTTATATTTTAATTTATACAAAAAATCTATTTACCAGTTAAATGAAATGTTGTGCACATGTCAACTTTATATAAAAAGCAGCTAACTAATTATGGGAAATATGCTTATATGGACAAAGGCTTATGAAATATGTTAGTGGATAGAAAAACAAATTTCTAAAGACAAGCTCGTTCATTAAAGCGAAAGCTTCTTGAGTCAAGTAGAATTCCTACATAAACATTTTTAATTTAAGCATTATAATTATTAAATCAAGCTTTAAGATATAGGTAGGTAGGTCTTAAAAATGTCTCAACTAAAACTTGGCTTAAGGCCGGCTTGTACTTTTACTCGAATTTTCATATTTACATCAAGTAAATATTGACTTTACTGAACTTATGGTGTGTATGCACATATCAAGATGATAACTTCTCAAACATTTCGTGGCTTTTGGAAGCACATTTTCTTCCACATCTCCAAGCTTCGATAGATATATCGACTTTATTGTGATACTACTTTAAAGCCTTTCATAAGTCTAGAAGTAGGATCGTATTTTATTCAATCATAAATCTTACACATTTTAAGTATATGTTTATTTATTGAGCCACCCTCGCTATAGCCACGAACTGTGTCGCTTGTCTTAGTCACCGCGTGCAGCGTCTCAATTACCAGCGATGCGGCAGCATAAAGTCGCTTTGTGGGTCAAATAACCTGGCCAGAGAGTGTGTAAGGGCAGCTCGAATCACAGACACACGCATATCTTTTATCTGAGCTCTTGACTGACAATCTTTTTCTGATTTGTGCTTGATTGCAGGTTCACCGTGGCACGCTGAGATCATGTCGTCACCCGGCCTAACCGCTCTGGGCGAATCCACACGCCTTGTGCCCGCCAATACGCCGGCGGTTTTTGAGATACTGCCGCCTCCTGGACAAAGCCTGAGCAAAGGCGAGTGCGTGGCAACGGTCTTGACTCCAAGCAAGTCAAAGCTGAATGCCAGAGTCACCCATGAGGCGGCAAATGGTGCTGCACGCATTGAGTTCGTGCCCACCGAAGTGGGCACGCACATCATTGATGCGTCCATCAATGGCACGAAGATCGCTGGCGGTCCTTTGATAGCAAAGGTCTACGATGCCAGCCTGATCCAAGTGACCGAGGTTAATGGCGGCGTGGTTGGCCAGCCATGCCAGTTTCGTGTGGACGCCAGTGCGGCTGGTGAGGGACAGCTGGAGATATCCATAAATGAGGGCGAGGTGCCCAACCATGTCCAGGTCGTTGGCGGCGGTCGTTGTCTCGTCTCCTTCACCCCCGAGCAGGCGAAGTCCCATTTGATAGACATCAAGTTCAATGGGGAGACGGTGCGCGGCTGCCCCTTTGTCTGTGCCGTGGCGGACACCTCGCGTGTTCTTCTCAACCTGTCCAATCTGGAGCTGATACCGGTCAACAGGCCCTCGTCCTTTCACATCACGGTGAGCGGTGGTGGAGCCGCTGAACTGGCGGTCAGCGTCCGTGGGCCACTCGGCGAGTTGCCCGTCCGCGTCACTGGCGATATACATGCCGGCTTCACGGCGGAGTTTACGCCCACCAGCGTCGGCGGCCACTCGATAAATGTGGAGTACAATGGCTTTGCGGTACAGGGCACACCATTTCTGGCCAAGTCATATGATGCCAGCAAGGTGGTCGTTGGTAGCGTCTCCCGTGGCACCATGGGTCGACCCGTGCAGTTCACTGTGGATGCGGGCGATGCTGGCGAGGGCAATCTAGAGATAACCATATCGGCCAAGGGTCAAAATATACCCACACAGGTGCATCCCCAGGGCAGTGCAAGGTAAGGATAATCAGGTGTTACCTGTCAGATGCCAGATGCTCTTACTTACACTTTTCTCTCTTTGTCTCGGCAGATTCTCCGTTTCGTTTGTGCCGACAGAGTCGTGCGAGCACACGATTAATGTCTCCTTTAATAAAATGCCCGTGCCCGGCTGCCCAATAACGGTTAGCATTAGCGGCGGCGTAGCCGGGCCCCAGGTATCCCTTGGCGGTCCCGGGCCGGTGCATCAGACCAATTCTTTTGTTATCAATCACAATGGCGGCCGTTTGGAAGACATTGAGGTCAACGTCGAAGGTATGTAGCTGGCCAGGAGCTGGCTGAACGGGCTCGCTCTCACACTAACACAGGGTACACATGCGCTATGTGTACCCCTCCCCCCCTCACATTTATAAGCCCCTCCGACCAACCCTCTATCATTGTGCTCTGCTCGCCTTCATTTTGTTTGCGTGTGGTTTGATTTGCATTTTGCATTTGATTTTGGTTCAAGTTATTCGTAATTGTAATTAAATTGCTCGTTACTTAAATGATAATTGTCTATGTATGTGTGTGTGTTTGTGGAAGAGAGTAATCGATATCGCACACACCCACACACATACACTCTCACACATATGCATACATATCTGCTCATAATCCGTATCTTTAGCTAGCATCTTATCCGTATCCGCATTGGCACACAAAAACACATGACTTTTTTTCCCACACACACACACACACACATTTTCACACTTTTCAACACAATCTACGGAAATTGTTGTTGAAACTTTGAAGCATGCCAGCACGCCTCAGTCCGCCCACCACCCCGCCCAACCCTTTTCAATTGTAATCCACCCACAACTGGCCCCTAACTCTCCTCTACTCACAGCTCTATTTCTGTTTCACACGCAGCGCTCTTGACAATAGCTTTGCTCCACCGTGTGGCAGCTTGTAAACTTGTGTGGCACCCCGCACCACTTAGCCACTGCGGCTAACTGAGTGTGTATGTGTATCTGTGTGTGTGTTGTGCTCATTTAGTATATGTAATTATGCGTCATATTTATCATTTTGGCAATTGCTACGGTTACACTTTGACGCATTAGCATCTGTGCTTAGGCTTTACAAACTCTGGATTATGCCATGGCCGCAACTGTGTAGGCGTGTGTAAAAGTCTGTGTATGTGTGTGAGTGTGTATAGGCCTTAAAATGTACGTTATGTAATTGATTCCACTGTTGTATAGCAGCACATTTAATTGTAATTACTTTTTAATCGAACTGTATATAAACATTGTAGTATGCGTATGTGTACATGTATGTGTATGTGTGTGTATCTGTGGTCTTTATTTCTATATATGTATGTGTGTATGCTCGGTATCTAGTTGTGTTTAAATGTTTTGTAATCTTACGCCCTTTAATTTGTAATAATTTGCTCACTTTTATATCTGTATTATATTTCAGGACGGCGAAATCTTTTGTACTAGACTCTATAATTATGCATATACTTACCTATCTATATATATATATAACTTTATATATGAGTACTTTCTATCTTTCTCACTCTATATATATGTATATACTAGCTCCTTATATCTACTCTATATATATATATATATATATATATGTGTGTGTTCCGCCTAACAGTCCGTTTAAATTGAAAAGAAACCATAACCCAACAGCGTGTTTACCAAGCGAAGTACTACTGTATCGACCACGAGTGAAAGAACCACAACAGCAACAACAACTATAAAAAAGCACCCACTACACCAAACTAAACAAAAAAGTACTCGTTTTTTTTTTTAATTTACTACTAATGTCCTTTTGCGCCTCAGGGCAAAATATTTACTAATTTGTTCAATTGATTCTGATTAATGTCTTTTAAAAGAAGCGCAAGCAAACAAATAAAAAGATGTTTTACATACATGATATATGCATAAAGGATTGTGTGTATTGGTATTGTTTTGTGTTCAGGCAGACATTCAGTACTGTACATAAGCTATATAGACACTAGAAGTATATAACTACAGGGATATATAATTATAATATCTGTTCGCTGCTCGCTCTGTCTCTACAAGAAATACATGCAACATCTCAAGTTTACTAACCGTTTCTGGCACGTTCTCGGTATAATACTCAAGACAACAAAAGCAACCACTGCAACCACTAACAACCACAACAATTACAACACCTGACAACCCACTAACCAGCCCGTTGGCATCGTTCATATTAAGCTCTTTACAAAAACACAAACCCAAGCCTAATGCCGTTACTAATCTGAGTAAACATTTTTCCAAATTTTTTACCAATTACGCGAAACCAAAAAAAAAATACCATAAACAAATCACTAACTACACTACACAACAACAATTACGACAACTACAACTACAAAAACAACAACAACATGCTCTATATATTAATTTCAACAAAACAATCAAATGAAACCCTCTCAAAACTCATTTCCGGCCGCGTCGTAATCGAAAATTCGTAATTAAAAACTTAAAAACCTAATAATACTAAAAACAAAAAAAAAAAAACAACAAAAACAAATAAATATACAAATAAAATGCAAAATGTGCACATTGCAAAATCGGGGCAACTCAGGTCCCGCCGGACAATCTGTGCCCGCCCAGGTGCATCAGTCCGCCGAGGGTGTCTTCAAGGCGGAGTTTGTGCCCCGAGTCGTCGGCGAACATCGCGTCAATGTCACTGTCAATGGTTTGCCCACAGCTGGCAGTCCCTATGCGGCTAAGGTAAGTTCACATATTCTTATCTAAATGTAGCTTGTAAAGTTCATGTTAACTTTTCTAAGCCCATAACTAGGTCGAATGCCTTGTCTTAGTCTCGACATGTTGTCTAAATCGTCATTTATTTCTTGGTCAACCGCATACTAAAAACAAAGAATATTTAGGCGCGTATAATATCTAAGTTATTTGTAAGAGATTCTGCTAATTTCCTATGGCAGCTATACGATATTGCTGTCCAATGACATATACTTCTTGGGGTCGAAGATATCTTCTTCTGTCCCTTTCACCTTTCATGACAAAATTATAATAGTCTTTATACGAAACTAAATTTGGAAGAATTATGCACACTCACCGTGCTTGTGCCTATCTTTTAGATATATACCTCCCTCCAGATCCGAATATAAAGCCCATATTTGTACATTTTGAACATTAACCTTTTTCGTCTCCACAGGTTTATGACGTCAGCGCCATCAAGGTGAAGAATGTGAGCAGTGGAACGGTGGGTAAGCCTGTTACCTTCCTGGTCGAAACTTCCCAGGCTGGTCCCGGCAATCTGGAAGTCACAGTAAACGGCGGTCGTGTGCCCACCTCGGCACAGGCACAGGGCCAGCACACATATGCTATCAGCTTTACACCACGCGAAGCTGAGAGTCACACGGTGGAGCTGCGTTTCAACAGCCAGGATGTGCCTGGCTCACCATTCACGTGCCGGGTGGCGGCCGCAGCACGCATACAATCGCCCGAGACCATGGACAAGGTCAGCGTGGGTCGCCTCTTCGAGTTTGTGGTGGAATCAGACACCAAGCCAACGGTGGAAGTGCTCGGCCCGGCCAGACGAAGTGTCCCGGTGAAGATCGACGCACTCGGCTCAACGCTGGGCTACAATGTCAAGTTCGAGCCCATGGAGGTGGGCGATCATTCGGTGGAGGTGCGACTGCCTGGCGGCGGTCATGTGGAGGGCAGTCCCTTCCTGCTGAAGGCCTACTCCGCCGAAAAGGTAATCGTAACGGACATACGACCTGGCGTGGTCAACAAGAGCGTCAGCTTTGGCATCAATGCCTCCCAGGCGGGCGCCGGCAATCTGGAGATCATTGTCGCCGTCAACGGCAAGAATGTGCCCAACTTTGTGCAATCCGAGGGCAATGCGCGTTTCAAGGTGAACTTCAAGCCCACAGAGGCGGCTGCCCATTCGCTTTCCGTGCGCTTCAACGGACACCCGGTACCGGGATCACCCTTTAGCTGCCACATAGCAGCTGCTGCCGCCAGTTCTTCGGGCGTGCCACGCGCCCAGGCGCTGGGCGAATGCCTTAAGCAAGCGGCCGTCAAGATGGACAACACCTTCGAGCTGGAGGGCTTTGAGGGCATCGAGCCACAGATATTTGTCACGTCGCCCGCCGGTGACAACGAGCACTGTCAACTGAGTCAGCACGATGGCGGCAGCTACAGCGCCTCCTTCCGACCCAGCACAGTGGGCCGCCATCTGATCAGCGTGTTGGCGAATGATCAGCACATAAATGGATCACCTTTCAGCTGTAATGTGTTCGACGTCTCCCGCGTGAGCATCAGCGGCCTGGAGCAGCAGTATGGACCTGCCACGCTGGGGGTGCCTGTCACCTTCAGTGTGGATGCAGCTGGCGCAGGGGAGGGCACACTTGAGCTGGTGGTGTCCACCGACAGCAGCACTGTCAAGGCCGAGGTGGTCGCCTGTGCTCGCGGCCTCTACGACGTCACCTTTGTGCCACAGAGCACCGAGCCGCATTATGTGAATATTACGTTCAACGAGGTCGCCGTTGACGGCAGTCCCTTCCGCGTGGACATACAGCAGCACACCCAGCACATACAGATTGGCAGTCTGGCAGCCATTGATTTTCCGGCCGACGATCAGATTGTAGAGATACTGGCGCCCGATCAGAAGCCCGTGCCGTACACCATCAATCGCCAGACGGCGGAGTTCCGCACCCACATGACCGGCAACTACACGCTGCGCTTTATTGACCGCGAGACGCGTCAGCACATTGGCACCCGTACGCTCTGCGCCTTTGATCCCATGCTGGTCAAGATCACCGAGGTGGGCGAGGCTCTGTGTCATCGTCCGGCCAGCATCAGCGTGTCGCTCAACGAAGCCGGGCAGGGTGATCTGTCGGCGCTGGTGCGTTGCGGTGTCACCGAGGTGCCGCACACCATACGCGGCCCCAGCAAATCGGGCGTCTACGAGATTGTCTACCAGCCCACGCGTGTGGCGCCGCACAAGATAAGCATACTCTTTAACGATGTGCCCATATCGCTGAAGCCACTCGAGATTAATGTGCTGCCTGCCAGCGCTGGCAAAGAGATCAGCGTCAGCGGTCTGGGCTTGTATCAGGCGCGGGTGGGCAAGACCACATCCTTTGCCATTGACACAGTGAAGCGGCCGGCGCGAGAGTTCGATGTTGTGGTCTCCGGACCCGGTGGCCAGGCGCTGCCCGTGCGCTGCTATCAGACCAAGAATGGACACCTGCAGGCGGAGTTCAGCATTAATAAGCCGGGTCAATGCGTTATCGGTAGGTACCGCCTTCACAGGCTCGTCCTTGTCCAATCTCTAATCTGAAATCGTGTTCTTTTGCAGAGGTGCTGCATCAGTCAAAGCCACTGCCGGGCAGCCCCTTCACCTGCGAGGCGTTTGACAGCAGCAAGGTCACTGTGCAGGGCGTCACCAAAGAGCCACTGGCGCTGCACAGCTCCAATAGCTTCACCGTGCGCACAGACAATGCCGGCACTGCCGAGCTGGAAGCCTTTGCCATTTCGCCCACTAACCAGAGCCTGCCCGTGCTCATCAGCGAACAGTCCGAGGGCATTTACAACGTAGAGTTTGTGCCCTCCCAGCCGGGCAACTATAAGCTAACGCTCATGTATGGCGGCGAGACGATTCCCAGCTCACCGCTTAACTTCAGCGCCTCGTCGAGTGGCGTGCGTAATGATGCACGCGCTGCTGGACACGGCTTGGAAGTATGTCATCGTAACAAGGAGGCCTCCTTTGTTGTCTATTGTCCCATTGCACCCAATGTGCAGATTGAACGCGTGGACGAGTTTGGCGAACGCATCGAGCCCAAGATCAAGGCGCTGGGCAACAACGAGTGGCGCATCTCATATGTTATTTTATCGGTGGGCACCTACGAGATTCGTGCCAGCTGCCCCAACCGCGGCAGTTTGCCCGGCTCACCTTGGCGCATCTGCTGCGTGGAGTCCACCAAGGTCACTCCTGTTGGCGGCTGGGGCACGCTGGTTGATCATGACGGACGTTTAATATTGCCGGCACGCATTATCTTCGATATGGAGAATGCCGGTCCCGGCAAGCTGGTCTGCAGCATCGATGGCATTGAAATACCCGTCGATAAGCTGGCCGATGGCAAGATGTGTCTCAACATCACGGGCGACAATCTGGCCGCCGGCGAGCATGATCTGGATTTGACCTGGAGCGGTTTGACCATCACACAGTGTCCACGCAGCGCCTTTGTAACGGGTCAGCAAGCCGCCGACAAGGTGGTGCTAATGGGTCGCGGACTAGCCGCCGCCCAGGCCGGCGAGGCGGCGCACTTTACCATCGATGCCTCCAATGCGCCAGCCGGCCGCCCGGAAGTTATTTTGATCACGCAGGAGAATACTGCGCTGCCCGTGAGCCTGGCACAGCCGCGGCCCAGCGAAAACATTTGGCTGGCCTCGTACACGCCGCAGAAGTCCATGACAGGCACTCTGACGCTGTCGGTCAAGTGGAATGGCCGGCTGGTTAAGGGCTGCCCGCTCACTGTGGCCGTTGGCTCCTCCATGGACGCCTCTAAGGTCATTGCGTCCGGTGAAGGTCTGCGCCACGGCATTGTCGGCAAGGACATCAAATCCTGGATAGACACCCGACGCGCCGGACCTGGCGAGCTAACCGCCCACTGCGCCGGCGCACGCAAGGTGGCCTACTGCGAGCTGTATGACCATGGTGATGCCACCTTTACGCTGAACATTAAGCCACAGGAGCCGGGACGTCATCTGCTGACCATCAAATACGGCGGACAGAATGTGCCCGGCTCACCATTTGCGCTCAAAGTGGCCGGCGCACCAGATGCCAGCAAGGTGAGTAATAAAGAGTATGCCTTTGCCTAATCCGTTACTTATGTGACTCTTTAACCAAACAGGTTCGCGTTTATGGGCCCGGCATCGAGCATGGTGTGCTGGCCACCTTCCAATCGCGATTCATATGCGACACACGTGGCGCTGGCGCCGGGCAGCTGACGGTGCGCGTGCGCGGACCCAAGGGTGCCTTCCGCGTGGAAATGCAGCGCGAGAGCCAAAAGGATCGCACCATTCTGTGCAAAGTAAGTAGGCGTATTTGTACGTTTGAAGTGTGATTAATATGGCTTGTTCTATGCGATTGCTAGTACGATCCAACGGAGCCGGGTGACTATCGCGTCGAAGTCAAGTGGGCTGGTGAATTTGTGCCCGGTTCGCCGTTCCCCGTCATGATCTTCGACACCGAGGAGGAGTTACGAAGGTACTTGCAGGGCATATGAGGCCAGATCAACCATCCCATCATTGTCTTCCCCAGTGGCCTGACTCCGCCCATTCGCTATCAGCCTGCGGCTGCCACTCAGCAGTCGCGTCGTGCCGCCTGTGTTCCACTCTAGTGGATGGCACAAATATTTATAGTGTATATGTGGGGTATACATATGAGCACGCACGTGTAGCTACAATCGCAGATCGTTAAGATCAACCATTATATATTTATATATATATATATACATATGTTATGAGTACTAGTTAAGTTTTAAAACCGAACGAAACGAATCGACTACCATAAGTCTAGATGAAGTCGCGGCCCGCCAGGCTCAGCTCTTCGGGCTACAAAAGGCTTTGGCGCTACGATAAATAGCTTTCTGTTCTTATAGTTGTAGACCTAATACCTATGTAATACAATGTTATTATTGCGAAACTATTTGATCCAAATGTTTAACAACGTATTCAATACAAATACACGACATTAAAGTACACATACATGCTGCCGAAACCTGGAAGAAGATCCAGAAACCGCAAACAATCGTATTTGCGAAAATCATAGCATACTTTTGTGGGCCCCCAAAAGATACAATCCTTGATTCCTGCTGCATGCTTCTTGGTATTTCAATTAACAAGAATGGATCAGCAAAGTTTAAAAATGTTCAAGGGACAAAGTGCGTTTGTTAACTTTATCGATTCGAAATTTATATAATAACAAGCAAAACTACCAGGACTATTTCAATGTCATTTAATAGCATAGTTTTCTTGTCTTCTGAGACTCGTCAGGTCATGCAAGGATTTGTCTATGTTGTAAACAGTTTGTAGGCCTATTAGGCAATGGACGACAAGAAAGTTCTGCATAGTTAATTCGTCAAGATCATAGTAAAGGATGCAGCCGAAATAATCCTGCTTGCTCAACATAAATATAAGCTAAAAAGCATTTGGTTCAATCTTGTACATAGCACGTAAACAACAACAGTTTATGATAATTTAATATGAATATAGATACCACCTAAGCCTAAAAAAAAATCTATAGAAAACACTGAAACCTATCGGAAACCCATATGAAATGTAGCACATGGCTAAACCTGTTTCTCCGTCTCCCAATCCTCGGGCAAGACAAATTCGTTGATAAACTCTTTGCGATATTTGCGCAGAAATTTGAGTAGATTCAATTCCAAAAAATGTTTGCATGCCCCATCGAAATCGGAATCCCCAATACTCATGCCGTTCACGCCGAAGTACATGTGCTGCAGCAGCGTGATTAGCGTAGAATGATTTTTGTTCTGCATATCATCGAAACGATCGTGCATTAGATATTCGGTCCAGGGCGCCTCGAAGAAGCTAACGAAATCCTTGATCAGACCCATTTTCCAACGACTATGCATATTATTGAGCAGCGTCTCATGTTTTCCGCAAAAGTACTCCAGAAAATAGAGGGGTTTATATAGCTGAGCAGGCATATAAAATTCATGCCGATTACATTGGAATCTTATTGCATATATGTAGATATATCTTACCTTACGAGTAACGCACACTATTTCTTCTACAATCAGATTCTGGCTCAAGCGTACGCGAAAGAAATCACCTGAGCTGGAGTAGCTAGTCATGAATTGGCTGTACTCATTTGAGAGCTTGCCCAGTAAAAAGCGCTTGGGCACAGTTATCTTGATGACCATATGACCCAGGGGTAGTAGACAGTGAAATAAACATGGCTTGCTAAACTTGCGCTCCTTTGTATACGACTCCTGGCTCAACTGTAGTATGTCTATCAACTGGATGCGGAAATGTTTCAAAATCCGGGATGAAGCATGCAGAGGCCAGCTGTCACTCACCTTTTGGGCCATCTCGCGTTCGCTGGTATAGATATACTGATAGAACGAATCCCAGACAAAGGTGACATGTTTGCCAGCCGCATAAATATTCGGATCGTTTGTGCAATAGTCCTCATCGACAAGTATCTTGCGATTCTTCATATTAATATCACTGTTGAGAAGCACTGAAAGCATAAAAAAACTTTTAAGCATTTAGTAAATATTTCCCATCTTCAGGATACCCACTTCGTTCTATGGACATGGGCATATAGTTCTCCATAAAATTGATAAATATATTACAGGTCAGGGATAGAGTATTTCCGCTGGGAAATAGCTTAAAGTGAACCCTATCAATAAAGTTCACGCTTGTATACAACGAAAATCTCACAAAATTGGCTGATTCGTAGACTTTAATGCCAAGATCAGAAACCATTTGCACCAGTATGTCGTCCAGATTCTTGTCATTTGTGGGATTATTTAAATACTCGGGCTTGATCACCTTATGCGGCTGTACATACACAATATTCTCGGGCCGACAGTTATGCTTCAGCATGAAGTCAATGCACTCGTATAGAGCCAAGGTGTAGCCATAGATGATAATCTTTTTTTTGGACAACTCGCAATCGTTGAGCTCCTCGAGCTTGTGATATAGCATAATCTTGTCTAGGCGTCCATTGATGTGCGCATAGTTATATGGATAGGCTTGATGGGTCTCATCAGTTCTTCCCAGGGTAGGCAAACCAAACTTGGTATCACACAGCAGCAGCAGCTTGTCATAGAAGACTTTGCAGTTGTTATCCAGACGAATGAACTTTTCATCACTGCAAAACGGTGCGTATACGTTATAAACCAACCCAAACCAAGTAAAGTTACTCGAACACCCACCGATTAATATACGTCACCTTTCCAGACACAAAGTTGATCCAGTTGCGCATATCCAGGCGTTGTGTGGTGTCCATTACAAAGGGACAACTGTTCTTATTGCTCAAATAGCAGTCTTCCTTGCGGCCACAGTATTGGCACGCAACATTAGGATCGTACTCCGCCTCGATTTCGCCATGATCAACAATAACTGTTATTTCCACAACGGGCAGGCAGTTGTTTACACTCACGTACTTGTAGCTACAAGGGAAAGACATTGTAGAGTAATCCAAGGAAAAGGTCAAAAACATGTCAGCTCCTACTCGGGCGTATTCCAGCCAAAAACCATGAGACGCAAAAAAGCCTTGCATATGTCCGAGAAACCGACGATAACTATTGGATTTTGATTGCCAATAAATTTGGAGGGAAATAGATTGTGTCGAAACAAATAGAACTGATCCATGACACAGTTTATCTTCGACAGATCCACCTGTGTCGACGAACGCCTGTAACAATGCTCGCTTTGGGTGTCTATGAACCAGTTTCTGCGCATGCGACGCGGCTCCACTGGCATCATTTTTTGTGCCAAATCATTTGGTAAGGGCTCGCCGATGATTTCCTGAAAGTAGAAGATTTCCCGATAGCCCGATCTTATGGCCACGGTGCGCAGCACCTCATCGGACCACATGTGAAAATAGGGATGCAGACGCAGCATCACAAGCTCGCAACGATCAAAGGTCATGTAGTCTTCATCGTGGGGCAGCACGAATTGCTTATACACCGCTTCGTAGTTCGAGAACGGACTGCGAGCCGGAACATTAAATGTATTCCACTAGCCACGCCCACTTACCGTAATATAGCAAAACCAACAGCCGTTGTATTCTCCCTGCTTGTGTGACCGCAACGTATAACCCAGAAGCTAAACTCGGACATCGGATTATACAGCACATCGGAGCTAATCTGTTTAACGATTTTAATCTGATGGGTGACCGTCTCCTGGATATGCGAGTCAAGGCCACTATTTAGGCTCTCATTGCTGAATTTAGTTTGGTTGTTAACACTCATCAACTTGATAACATCGTCGATGTCATCCTTAGCCAGGTGGTAAATACTGAGCTCTGTGTTAATGGAACAGCGATGTGCCACAAAGACCTCGTCGGACATTTCGGAGCTGGGGCGATGTTGCACGCGCTATAAAATTGGAACTCGAGGGATTGTTAAGCCAACATCTATTCGAAATTACTCACTATAAAGAACTTAAGTAACGCCCAGAGGCTGGCGGAATTGTTAGCGCTGGGTGACACGGGCACCACGCAATAATCGCGATCCGGATATGCGCTGAACATCGCGCAGATGTAATAATAAGAATACTCCAGTCTGAGACTCGGGTGCAGTATGAAGTTCTTCAGCAGAAACGCCCGGGAGGCATTGTTCAGGCCGTATTTCTTGTTCTTGCTCATGCTCTTGCGCGTCGGCATATCAAATGATATGTTCAGAGTTTTCGGTACCTTGTCCAAATAGTTGCTGCTATTACTCAGCTCTGCAATTGTAGAAGCTTACAAGAAGGTCCATTAAGGGCTCTAACCTACCATCGGTTATGTATTTAAATTTTGTGAAAAGGCGCTCAGTTGCACCCAGTAAACCGGTATCCATTTCAGAATAGGTACTGACTTCACTTCCTTTTCTCAGCGAGACACCGCGCCGCTTTAAGTAATTCAAATTTTTCTTGAGATTAAAATATTGCCGCTGCTCTGCCGTGCTGCGTGGTCAGCCATAATCGTAAGCCACTAATTCTGATCAACTATAATTATCTTACTTACAAGACATTGAACTGCACAGTGGCGTGTGGCATATCGGGAGTACATGTCACCAGGTTGCCCAAGCTCTCCAGATCAAAGTTCCTAATCAATTCTTCGATGTCCACCTCCTCCGTGAGCCACATCATACCCGTGCTGCCATCAACTGAGGAGCCGGCTTCCTAAATAATATGAGGTAATAAGTGTTTTCCCTTTCATTTTCAATGTAGGTCAATGTAGGTGACGATACCAAAAGGTAAATAACAACAGCTTTTCCTTACTAATCCACCCTTGTTAGATGAATTAGCCAGGAAACTATTATCTGTCCGTCAGGACAAACCGTTCTTTATATTTGTACCTCTGTAACAATAATTTGATCTCTTTCTATATTGCCACCGGCTGTGCCCAGAAGCAACTCAGCTATAAAGAAATCTCCACGCTCTTGGCGCATTTCCGGCTCATGGACGTCAACCATGTCAACAATATCATCATTGTCCTCAGGTCTGCATAGTTATAGACTTTGCATTAATCTTTAGTATTGTGACAGAGCTACTTACAGGGCTTTTCGAAATGATACGGATGGCATAAATTTGCTGCGCGATATTACAATAATTGTCGGCAGATTCCTGCATGAGAACATATCAAACGCAATGGGATAATAGACCTTACCAATGCTTTCCAGCTTCTCAAATTCCTTGGGTGAGTAGTTTGGGGGCCTAGCAACAACCAAAAAAGATACTTTGTGCTCGCGATAAAATACCTCCATTAAGAGTTGTCTCAAAATATCTTCATATTCCGACAGGTATATGTAAAAATTAAAAAATATTGTGTTCATCAGCGTAATGGGCAGATCCACGCTATAAGGCACAACACGCAGGATTTCAAATCATATTTGTCTTATTGGCTCTTGTTACCCTATTCGAATTTCTCTTACCAAAAACGACATTTTAGCCACTGTGGCCAGCAGTCATTGGATAGCACCGGTATATTTGGATATATGCAAAACTCGCTATATGCCAATATAGCTTTAGGATCC